CTTCAAAAGTTTTATAGATTCCCAGTTTTCCATAATGTAAATATTTGTTCCATTGTGCTTAGGAAGCATGCTATGGAGTGGTGCTTTGTGCAACCCCCCCCTTCCCTCTTCTTTCTGCGTCTCCCCCAGGTCCCCACTTGCTGCTTCTTGTGACCAGGCTTGACTCGGAGGTCTTAGCTGGGCTGAGCTCCCCTGGGCAGGGCTCTCTAGATTCCCAGCCCAGCCATCTGTGGTTGGTGTTTCTCAGTCAAGCTCACTTGTCTGGGTCATAGCGGCCTCCAAGGCTGCCACGGCCGACTTCTGGCTATCCTATTTAGCTTAGCAGGTTTCCTCATTTCCTGCTGCTGTCCTACCAGCCCAGGCTTCTCTCAGATCCAGGGCATTTACCCTCTTCCAACATGGTCCAGAAACAGCCAGAGGTCAGATTTCAGAATGCATGGGAAGCCACAGAATCTCTCAAGGAAGACAAATGGGCATCAGAGACTCTGATCTTTGAGTGACTCCCAGGGAAGGCTCAAGAATGGCGTGGGTAGGTTAGGGGAGACCTCTAGGTTGTGTGCACTGATTGTGCATCCAAGACACTGTGGCACTGTTCCTGCCTCCACGGCACACTCCCCAGCTGGAGTGGAATCTTTAGTGGTGGAATCCCGTGTGCGGCTGCCTCTTTTCAGCCTAAGCACACTCAATGCAGCACAGCTTGGATCTTGCAGCCTCAAGAGCTGTCCACACAAATCCTCTCAAACATGAAAAGCCTGCATGCTGGCCTCTGGCTTGCATCTCGGAGCTTTGAACTAGCAATTCGCCCGCCAAGAACGTGTTCTGAACGGCTGGTTTGCGTGGCAGGGGAGAGCTCTCGCAGACTCAGAATCTAGATCACTACCAGAAAATGGGAAGCGCCTGGTGATTTTGGAAGCAAATCCTTCCAGACTTAATTTTCAGGACCATGTGACTTCCCAAACTACAAAGAGCTCATTTTAGCTGTTGAGTGTGGAGCAGGCAGCAAGAACCACGTCTCCTACCAGCTCCAGCTGCCCCGAGAGTGTGGTGTGGGAGGAGGGCTACGGCAGGGGGTTTGCTAGGAAGCAGGGCTCCCCTGGGAGGAAGAGGATGGACAGACGGCCTGGGTTGGGTCTTGTGACACTGGAGCTCTGGGACTCTTGGAGGAACTGTGGGTCCTGAGGGACTTGAAGGCAAGGGTGGGGTGTCTCTCTGCTTACTACATCTTTCAGTGGCCCTGGCTGCAAATCTCTGGTCCTTTCTGGGCTACTCAACAGAGAGCCAAGCAAGAATGAGCAAACGCCCCTAGACAGGAAAGGAGGGGGAAGGGAGGCAGGAGGTGGGACACACACAGGGACTGTCCAAGGGCACGGTCTGGGGCATACATGTGTGTGTGTGTGCGTGTGCGTGTGCGTGTGCGTGTGCGTGTGCGTGTGCGTGTGCGTGTGCGTGTGCGTGTGTGTGTGGCATTCCTGGGGCCCCCAAAAATTAAGGCTGGAGACACAGCAGGAGGCGATCCTGGGTTATCTCATTCCAGACTCATGTCAGGCACAGGGCACCAGCCCCTTCTCAGGCTGTGTCCGTGGGCCTGGGGACAGCACATGGTAAGATACTGGAGACCCCTCTTCCCCTCCCCCAGAGCTTCCATCAAGAAGATAATAAATACGGGATACAGAGTTGGAGGCGCCAGTGAGAGTGACAGGGAAAGAATAGAAAAACAGGCGGCTTCAGGTCAGAGAAGGGGGACGCAGAACATTCGAGCCAGAGCTCGACACTCATATAAGCCCGTCTGAGGGCCACTTGGGCAGCCGCTATTGGCCATGCGGACATTTCCTGGGTAGCTCAATGTCACCTGCCGGTGGGGGCCTTGTGCAGAGGGGCCCCATCCAGGACTTGGACTGCAGAGTGACTTCTCCCTGCTGGAAGGTTCGCTTTTCATTTGTTCTTTCTCTGGTACCTTATCAGAACCAAGAAGTCAACGTGCCGCTGGTCACGCATGGACAAGTCAGGCGTGGAGACGGATGAGGGAAACCTCCACTGGGTGGCGCTCTTCAGCCCGTCCCTGCGGCTCCTGTTTAGGGCCTTCCTTAGCAAACACACGGTGTCCTCCTCAGAAGTGGTTGGACACTGGTGACCTTGAACTCCGTGGAGGGCAGGCGGGGAGACTGGGATGAACAGCTGGGTGGCAAGACTTTGGACTTGCTCACCTGTGGGTATCAGTTGAACCCTCAGGTAGTGGGACACCAGGAAACTGGAGCCAGATGGCAGAGGTCCTCAAAGTTGCTTCCCTCATGTGGGGAATGGGGAGGAGGCCAATAGAGTGCTTGTCAGCCTCACCCAGCTGGGTGCAGGAGACAAAAACTGGCTTCCGGAGGGCTAGACTCTGTTGGCGTCTAGGGACTGACCTGTTCCCCCACCCTTTTGCCTCTGCCGCACACTGCACACTGCTCGACCCAGGCCTGGCTTCCCTCTGCGGGCCCTGCTCTTCCAGCCACCCGGAGTTTGGAAGGCAGCCTTCCCCTGACTGTGGATGGAACGAGATGCATGAGAGCAAAGTCACAGTCCTCAGCTCCAGCGAGCGCATCTCCACTTTCCTCTTGGTGCCTCAATTTCCCTGCTGGGGGTGGGGATGGTTTCTGCTTTTCCCACCCTGTCTACATCTAAGGTGCAATGATACCGTACACAAAAAGCTTTGGAAGTCCCGAGGAGCTTTCAAAGCCTTCCTGAGCCTTCTTGAAACTGAGGCCGCTGAGACAGGAAGTGGGAGGCGTCTGCTTCACCTAATTCTTTGATGATTAAACATGACAACCCGTGGGACAGAAGTGACAGAGCACAGGCGTTCAGGCAGTATCAGTTATGACAGCGCCTCAAACGCTGTCACATCTTCAAGACAGTGTGTGGTGTGTCAGATCCAACTATCGTATACACACAGAAAAGCCGCATAAAATCCACATTTAAGCAAAACTTAAAAATTACACTAAACACAAGATAATCTGTAACATTTTGTCTTCCAGCATTTTAGATACTGTTTGTCTGTAAAATAGCACATGCTTATTTTTACAAAAATCAGATCAACACATATATTTGCACTATCATTTTATAACATATGCCCAGAATCTAACTCTCATTATCAAATATTTATTTACTTATTTATTTTCGAGACAGGGTTTCTCTGTGTAGCTTTGC